GACATAATTCATAAAACTAACATATGTCCATCTCGTGTCATTATCTTGTGATATATAACGACATCTTCATGCACATAAATTCCCAATTGAAGGGCATACATGATTAATTAACATTAATTTCAAAGCTTCTATTGCAGGCGTATGAGAATGTTAACGTTAATCCAATGATTACTTAAACAAATTTAAACCATGCCATTGTTATTCCTTCCTAGTCTCGTTTGTATTTGCTTTTAATTAATTCGTTTTTACAAATCTATGTATAGATATTTTATTTTCAACTTTTTTAATATATGTCAAATCATTTATATATATAAAATGTATATAAAAATTAAATGCGTGTCAATAATTTCTAGAGTAAATGATTAAAAACTTTCAGTTATCTTCTATTTTTCTTAAATTACGAATTCAGCCGTCATTAGAAGCAAAATTTACTTTCTCTTTCTTAAATAAGAATAGTTAAAGAAAAAAATTAAATACATAGAAGAACCATAGATGTGATACCTTGAGAGATTGACAAGTGTGTTTTTTTTGTTTTTTTTTTTACCATTTTTTCTAATCGGGTTTGATTATGAGAGCTAGGGACATATATAAACGAGGGGAGAAATATTATCATGATTATTTCATTTCTAAAAATATTCTTATATTATTTATTTTGGTTGTTTTTTTCGATTTTCAGTGTTTTGTCCTGATTAATTCGATTGATCCGTATCGTACATTTGATTTTGGTAGGTGAGTCTTTCAGCGAGAATTTTCTGCAACACAAGTACTCAAACTCAAAACTTGCTTAAATGATATCAAGTTGCTTACCATTTGAACTAATCCTATTTGTAATAATAATAATATTTACTTAGTTTTCTTGAAATATAATTGTTTATTTTCATGATTACTGATTGGCATCTTTCTTTGTCCATGTGCAGTTCTGCATGCCTGTTTATGATAAATCATTATATTATTAAAGCGAATTATTTCGTTTGCTAGCTTGTTTTTCCATTTGCAATGAAACAACCCCATGTAAGCCGAGAACCCCTGATTTCATAATTAATTTTGCTTCACCTAATTTACATGCCTATTCATGGACGATAATTGTCATGAAAAATCTCGTACTTGCTCATCTATAGTCTCCCATGCCACACACCCTTTCTTACATTTTTTAGTAATAGGACGCATAAACATCTTTTGTCCGAAATAGCAATTTTGGCCAAAATCACCATGTTTACTCACCACAATTGCAAAATAAAACAAACAAATGAATGATCATGGCGTTTGTTATGTCTTGTCCCCTTTATTACCTAGTAGTCTAGTATAGTGTCGCGCGCCATTTCATATTCGATCTTTAATTCTCCATTTCCAATGTCCAATCTTTATTCTGTTAGACTATTATTATTTTCTGGATTTGTTGTTGGAAATAATAGTATTACTATAAAATAAATAGTTAGTATTTAGTGAGAAAAATAAGGTAATGAAAATTTTAAAGTGTTTGACTGTAATTCGGAGTAATTATTGTTAAATAAAATCATCTTAATTGATGTAATCATTGAAGTTGATACTATTGTATGATGTTAACACGATCTTTTCAAATTTTGTACACCTAAAACATGAAACGGAAACGTGTAATATTGTTCTTCTCGAAAAAGGCAAAGGAACTTTGGAAAAATAGAAAATGAGAGAACACTTCTAGAGAGAAATGTGTAAAATTAATTGTGTTGGGATTAGGGACTTAAAAATGGTTCGTTCGACCATCGATCGAATTAAATTCTCTAAAATTGTATTAATTAATTTTTTTATTTAACCATTAATCGAATCGATTTTGTTTGAAAATCTTTAATCAAACTGAATAAATTTGATTAATTCGATTGGTGATCAATCAAAGTAAATTAACTGTTAACACGTCCATGTAAATTCTCACGTTGGGCATGTTGCACTCTTTTTCCAACATGTTGTGGTCCCATTTTTGTAAATTATCAAGTCTATATTGTACTATTTTTCTTTCAAAGTGGAACACCTTAAAAAAGTGTTAAAAATGCTCCCACAATTTAAATAAACATACACTGAGACAATCAAATCAATAACATCCCATAAATTTAGAAAAAAAATTACTTTTTATTTGAATTTTTTTTTTAAAAAAAACATCCAATTATTTTAAAAAAAATTATTCACACACAATACCTATCAAAGACATAAAATTACTATATGTCACAAACACAAATCAGATCGATCGATAATGACAGCCCATGCACATAAATATGCCCACCAATACTCAATAAAAAGGATGAAAAATATATTATATTAATTATCATCAATCTCTTTTTATTTTCTCATGCGAGATTTTTTATATTCGTGATATTTTTAATCATTGTTAGTAAAATTTTGGTTTCAAGATATTTTGAAAATTTTAAAATTTTATGTCTGGATTTTATTATATGTGATTTGAAACAATATTTTTTAAAATATTTGGTAATTTAATGATTAATTTAAAATTAATTAAATGTAATAATTATTAGTGTATAGAAATGTTTTTCAAGAACTTTGAGGGTCCGGAGCCACGATGGATATCTAATTCCCAATCTATTTGCTTAATGGATGAAATGATGGAACAAAATTATAATAGAGGAAACAATATATTACTCCTTAATTAGAGGAAATATAAAGAAATTTGTAATGATGAAAGCATGATAGTTAGGGCAATTCGATGCACCCGAATTATGGCACTAATGGTGTTTCATGTGGGAGAAATAATTGATGAAAAATGTTAACAATTGTCTAGTTACACTCACCCATTTAGCTGATTCGATATATATATATATATAATATATATATATATATTGAAATGAAAGTATAATCTATACACTATTTATTTAGAAATAAGTTTAATGTATATGATTTTATAAATTTATTATTATCTTCTTAAGTTTCAGTTTTAGACATCCTATATATAGAAGTATGAGTATTTATTATCAACGGATTAAAAATCTTTGAACATATATTACTTTATATACTCTCTCTCTCTTCTCTCTCTCTCTCTCTCTCTATATATATATATATATGATTTTACAAGCTATTGAATGATATTGTAGATAAAATAAATCAAATAATAAATACTTTATAATAAATTATTATAATATTTAATTCAAATTAACCAAACAACAAATTAGATATTAATAATTATAAAAAAATTAATCGATCAAGTTATAATTCATAATTTAAATTCCATTTTTTGAATTAATCACTGGTGTCCGATCTATTGATTAAACAATCCAAATTGATTATAACTGCAGAAGCAAGGGCAGTTTGTTCCATTCACAAATGTCAAGGTTTAAACTCTCGATCTTACTTAAAGAATCTAGTGTCTCGTCCCACTAGACCATCTGGTTGTTAGTTTTAAATTATATTTTAATTAAAACAACATTAATCGAAAAGGATGATGATGAACAAAATTCAAATCTAGCATCCATCTTTAACAATAATGGAAAATCTAGCGACAATGACAGTCCTTTATATTTTATATTTCTAAAAGTAAATTTTGTTGGTTTCACTATACATTTATTGTATAAGAGAAAATGATGGGAGTGAGAGAAGAATGAAAATATAGAATTATAAAATGATATATGGGCATGTCCTACAGCATCATTGATGGTCGAAATTAGGATCTTCTATTGTTTATATTAATTGTAAAAGCAATCTCAATAAATTTATTAATATTATTATTTCGGCCACTAATTAACAATTAATTATGCACAAGTTTTAACTTTAATCACGTGGATGATGTCCGAAGAAGGTACCAACACGGCCGCGAGCTACCCACTTAATTTAATTACGCTATTTTCAATAAGTTTAATTTAATTATTTTATATATACTAATATTTAAGACATACGTGAAATATTTGTGAACATATTTATCTCGTAAACAAACATATAGTTTGTAAAATAAGGTTATATTATCAAAATAATTAAATTAAACATAAAATCTTCCAAATTATCGATTAGCGAATGTCACTAGTATATATGGAAATTTCGTGCAAATAAAAAATGAAAATATTATCACTCTTATCATGTAATGTTTTTAAATATAAATTGATGAGTTATGGAACTTTGATGGATTGGGGTATATTCTTTGTGGTCAGATATCTCATTATTATTTATTAAAATAATTTAATGATTAGTAATTAAAAATATATAAAATAATTGTTTAATTAATAAAAAATTAACTGTCACTACGAGTTTTATGGTTGGTTGATTAGAATATTAATGTCTTAAAAGTTAAGTGATTAAATTAAAATTTTTGTTTTAATAAAGTAAAATGTTAATGTCCTAAACATTGAGTGATCGATTTTAATAATTTAACCTATATAAACATGGGATCTGCTTTTTTTTCTCAGTCATGGGGTAATTATGATTATGATCCCAAAATATCAGAATCCACGGCTGACAACAAATATATATAAAAGAAATAAAGAGACGTGATTTCAAATTAAGGGTGTACAAAAAAATCTGATTCGATCGATCCGTTGATCCGATCTTAAAAATCGGATATTTGATTCGTTTTTTAATTTTTGGATTGTTTGGATCTGGTATACGAATTTTTTTTGGATTATCAGATCGGAAAAAAAACATCTGATTTTTTTTTTTTTTTGACTATTTTCAATAAAGAGCTGTTGTGGTTTGGGAGGAGTTGTGAAGCTCTGCTGGCAGCAGTTTTGGAACCATTGTACGCTCTTTGCTGGTGAGAAAAGAACAAAAAAGAAAAAGGGTGTGAAGGTCTTCTTCCCTCGTGGTGCAGTTACCAAACCTTCACAAGGGGTTGTATGGCAGACCCCAACCTCCCCACGTTCTCTTTCCTTTTATATAACCCCACCATTCCCCTCTTCTCTGATCACCCCCTCTCTTCCCCTTCATTCTCTCTCTTTTCCTCTCCCCTCATTACTCCTCCTTGTTACATTGCACCCCTACAATAACATAAACTCCGTTTTCCCTCACAACAGAACAATTACAAGAACAATAAAATGTGTACCTCTAAGGCTAAAGTGACTACAGGTGGTACTACTACTGCTGCTGCTGCTGTTGAGATAATAACGCCACCTTCTGCGGCCAGGATCAATGGCCGTCTGGTTCTTCAGCCTACTTGTAACCGTGTTCCGAGCCTCGACCGTCGTATTTCTTTGAAGAAAATACCACCTATTACTCCACCACCTCAACCACTAACATCAACTCCACCGGCTACTAATGCTGCCACTGGTAGCAGGGCTAAGGCCTCGTTGACGCCGCCTTTATAACCAAGCTCGAAGTTCCCCGGCCCGCGAGGGAGTGATCCGAATGGATTGAACACAAGTTCCGAAAAGGTTGCCATTCCCAGGAGTACTAATAAAACCTTGGAGAGGAAGAAATCGAAAAGTTTCAAAGAGGGTATGGGGAATGGATTATCTTCTTAGCCACGAGGGCTTGGTAACTGCACCATATTGATGATAAGTTTGGTTTAGAGAATTTGATGAGTGTCACCGCATACGCCTTAATTTATGCTAATTTTTTTGAATTTTTTGTAAAAAAAATCGGATTCGGATCGGGATATTCGGATATCCGATCTGAAATTTCAGATTTCCGAATATTTGGATATCTGATTTGTTCGGATCGGATACGGATCATTATTTAAGGTATCTAAAATTTTCGGATATTCAAAAATTCAAATCGAATAATATCCTATATCCGATAATACACACCTATTTCAAATTGCGGTGCCACGTCATATAGCATAAGAATATTTCCAAATCTGGAACACACAAGATGATAATCCCGCCCACCCCAACTAGAAAATTCCCGGTGCAAGTATTTCCGGGCACCATAGTTTTAATATACTATTAAAAAAAAGTGTTTATAAATTTTGTTATTATTTAAATAATAAAATTGATAAAAAAAATTATTAAAAAAATTATTATTTTTATCAGTTTTGTTATTATTGAAAGTTTTAATGGTTTTGTTAATAAAATTGGTAAAGCATTATCGGTTTTGTTATTTTTTTTCTGATTTTTTTATTATTTGACACTTTACCAAAAATATTAAAAAATATTAATATTTTAGATAAAAATAATAATATTTTAAATAATGTTTTACTAATTTTATTATTTAAATAATAATAATATCAATAATACTTTTTTTAATTATATATTAAAGGTGCTGTCACGTAGAACTTCCGAAATTTTGGTACAATTTTCAGCCTTGTGCCATCATAGCACCACGCGCGAGTTAACACGCGCAACGGTTACATTTATATTCTGACTGTATGTTTTTTATATACTTAATATAAAAATATATGTTCAAAGTATATTTGAAGGTAATTTTAAGTATATAAAAATATAGTTGAATCCCTTACAATCTTTTAAGAATTTAATTTGACCCCGTAAAATTTTAAAAATTTAGATTAAGTTTTAAATTTTTTAATATTCTTAGTTAAGTGCTCCCATTAATTTTAAAAAATCTCATTAAACCTATGAAATTTTCAAAAATTTTTAATTATTCCTCAAATTTTTTAAAGAAAAAAGTAAATTGAATCCTTCAAAAATTTTGAAAATTTTAATTTAAACCCCTAATTATTTTAAAGTTATAAGTTGCCACAAATTCTATCACCAAGTTCCGCCGTAGGATATATAAAGAAATTTTTGTTAGAAATAGGTGAACAACGTTTTCGGCGTTATATTTTTTTATGTATCTGAATTGTAAAAGATATTAAATTTGACCGTTAAGTGATACGTGATAAACTTATAAAAAAATTGTTTTAAGAATACATAAATTTATTATTTGAAAAACTCTGTATTTTTTTGAAATTATAAAAAGCCCCAAAATCTTGAAAAATCCTAATTTCAAACGTGTATCACCTATTGGCCGTCAATCAACCAAAATCCTTATGACTTGTGACTGCTCGAGTTTTTGACGTATATTACCGGAAATGTCATTATCTCTATTTTTTAGGTATTGTTGGATTACCGACGTTTTGGACTAAAATATCCTTAAAAAAATTTCTTTTAAAAATAACATTCTTCTGTCATTGAATAATAAAAATTCTACGAAGGTTAAATTACAAATTTATTCTTAAACTATTATAGATTTACAAAAAAAATCTAAAATTAAAATTTTATATAAAGTTCAGTGGTTAAAAAAATTTACCCTTTCATTAAACCTTTTTATATTTTTAATTTTATAAAAAATTTATATGAATTTTATTTTTTTAAAGAAAATATATAAATATTTTTCAACTTGTTAAAAAAACAAATATATAATAAAGACAATTTGGTCAAATATACATTCCAATAATCTTTTATTCTTTTAACCAAATATGGTAATCTTACATTCCTGCTAAGACAACCAAACACAAAATACAACATTTCCAGTAATCTTATTCCTTGATAATCTTACATTCCCACATGTAATCTTACATTCCGTGAAACAAACGCAACCTAAGTATCCAAAATGAACTTTGACTAAAAATTAGGCACTTATTCTTACATTTAAGTCGTTTTTATATAATTTTATATTTTTCGAGTAGAAAGACGTTAGAAGAAAGCTGTTTTAAGCTCTTCTTTTGCTTTGCCTCTCTGTTTCTTCTCCTTGATCACTTAAAGTTTATTTCATTACGATTTTTTTATTCGGATTCTAGAACCAAAACAGTGAGTGATTTTTTGAACCTGTTGTTAACGATCCATGCAGTGCATACTCTACGGTTTGGCTTCTTCGAACCGATTCATCTACGAAATCTGACATTTCTAGTTTTGGAGAAGAAAATACTTCATTTGATTGAAATTTCAAGACAATTAAAGGTTGTTTCGAAGCTAATGAGGAAACGTATAGGCGAGCAACGAACAAGGTTTTTGGCGTTTGTTTTTCTCTCCAAGTTAAGTGTTCATTTCTTTCGGATTTGAACGTGAATGGAAGGAGCGGCGTCTCAGCAGTGTCTGCAGTAGTGTTCTGACGAAGGGATGCTGCAGAAAGAAAAAAAAAACAGAAGTTTATTTTTGAAGCGTTGTTTTCCTTATAGAGCTACAAGCAAGGAAGTAACTTTACGGTGAAGAAAGTTGATCTCTGGAAGAGCAACAAAATTCATTGGGTTCCTTCACATAAGTTCATATTTTTTGAATTGATTCAAATTAGTAAGCATGAAAGCTCCACCAAATGGAATTTTGGCAAATCATGCGGAAGGTTTGATCTTTCTTCTGTTTTTTTTTACTCTGATTCAGTTTTTCGTTATCCCTTGGGTCAGTCAAAAGAGGCTATGGTTCTGACTTCCCAGTTCAGAGCAAGCGAGAGATCTTCTGAATTGTTAGTTTATATTTGCTTTCTTTTGAATTTCCCCTATATTATCCACAAATTTTCACGTAAAATGTTGTATTTTTTTTAAAAAAAGTAGATCATACGGATTCCATTTTGATAAAAATGGAAATAAACAAAATTAGAAGTTAAAATGTTATTGAGTGGCAAACTCTCCTCATTTCAATGAGGAAGGCTACGGTTTGGGGATCATTTATCATTTTGCAAATTGGAGATGAAACAAGAGGGGAAAGAAGAAAACATGTAACAATTTGTTTTATTTTTCTTTGTTAAAGTTCCAAGTACAAAGCCATGATTGTTTATACAAGAATATTCATGATAATTTCTTGTTGTAGGAAAAAATTGGTATCTTTTTGCTTTAAGACTCTAATAGTTAATTTGTTGCCCTGTTTATTGTTCAACGTTTTACAGAATATGAATTTCGAAAACTCTTTGGTAGTTGATGCTTTAAATATTCTTTTACGACTTTGTGTGGTTTTGAGGGATGTTTGATAATGTTCTGGTTGGTTTTAGAAAGCAGGAGATAGGAAGAGTATCAATTCAGAATTATTGCATGCATGTGCTGGACCACTTGTTTTTTTGCCACCAATTGGAAGCGTGGTGGTCTACTTTCCTCAAGGCCACAGTGAGCAAGTAAGTCGCTTTCTTCATTCATTTCGAAGGAATAATTGTTATGAATCTGGACAGCTATGATATTTTTCTCAAGTTAATAAAATTTGTCCAGGTTGCAGCATCAATGCAGAAGGAGACTGATTTCATACCGAGTTACCCTCACCTTCCTTCCAAGTTGATTTGCATGCTCCATAACCTTACACTGCATGTAAAGATCAGGGCACCATTATCTATAGTTTTTGTTGCTGGAAGTTCTATTCGGTGCTAATTCATGCTGAAATATGAAATGGGAACATGACTTTGTAATGGTCAAAGGATACGAAAAATGCTAGTTATATGACTTTATGAAGTTGCTAACTTATTATTTTGAATTAGGCTGATCCAGAAACTGATGAGGTCTATGCCCAGATGACTCTTCAACCTCTAAACAAAGTAGGTCAGCTATTCAATTTGAGAATTCATTAATGCATACCGCAGAGTCCTGTTCTTTCTCTCTTCAATTTTCTCGTATAGTGAAATATAGGAAGAATCTTTATTGTACTTCTGTAACAGTATGACAAGGAAGCAATACTGGCATCTGATATGGGCCTCAAGCAAAGCAGACAACCTGCTGAGTTCTTTTGTAAGACTCTTACAGCTAGTGACACTAGCACTCATAGCGGATTTTCTGTCCCTCGTCGAGCAGCTGAGAAGATCTTCCCTCCTCTGGTGTGTTGGAACTTACAATATTTAGATTTAAGACTTGATAGGTGTGGCGTAAGCATTTTCTGCCTAATTTCTTAAGATCTAAATGATGATGTTTGGTAGGATTTTTCAATGCAACCACCTTGTCAAGAGATAGCAACAAGAGATTTACATGAAAATGCATGGACTTTTAGACATATTTATCGAGGTATTGCTCTCTTCAAGCTTTCACAAGCAGAGCAATGGTATTATAACATAACGATTGTGAATTGGTGAAAGTGTTTTATGCTACTAAACACTTTTGAAGCTAGGAGTTATTTCATTGCTTCCTTAAATTTTACTTAGATCTTTATCACTAAAAGTCTAATACTGTAAAGCGATGCTGGGGAGCCATAATTTTGTTCACTATATAATGGTAATTTATGTATCTTCATTACTAATGCTTTACGATGATACTAGCGAGTCATATCATTTTGTTCAACTTACAATGGCATCTTTTATGTTTAATGTTATAGATGTCTGAAATGAAATAATATGTCCAAATACATAATGCAGGTCAACTTAAGAGGCACATTCTGACTACCGGTTGGAGTGTCTTTGTTAGCACAAAAAGACTCTTTGCTGGTGATTCAGTTCTTTTCATAAGGTGATTTGCTTAAATATAAAAATATATTATTGTGTATTGTACTCGTGTATTTGATAGAATCTACTAGATGGATGTCCATTTTGGTGCTCAACTTAAATTCTTTGCTTAAATGTAGAGATGAGAAGTCACAGCTTCTTTTGGGTATAAGGCGAACTAACAGACAGCAGCCGACTCTCTTGTCATCAGTAATTTCTGGTGATAGCATGCATATAGGGATCCTAGCCGCTGCAGCAAATAACAGCCTATTTACCAAATTCTACAACCCGATGTATTGCTATAACATATGTTGTTTGTTCTTAGATTCTTCATTATTGTTTAATGCAATCTTGTTAGTCAAACGCTAACTTTTTCCTTCTAAAATGCAATCTCTTATCATATCCACACTTTTGCTTATGTACAACACTATTCTTTGTTTCAACTCATAAACTTTGGCTTTCTATATCTTATACTCTTGTCACTGATGCATTTATTCTTGAGCTCTTCTATAAGTACTCACCACGCCATTTGATCTTTTTAACGTTCTTATGGTGACACTTGTTCACCATATTCTATCTTATCCACATACTAACCAAACTAATCCATATCGTTTTTCCGATTCAACACAATAAAGATCTTCTATCACTATTCTAATATGATTTCAACTTTCTGAAATCAACCTTTAATCTTATAAGACACTTTCTGAGGTTTCCGCTCTTCATCCTGCCTGGCCATAGCAGGTGAATTGCTATCACCATCAGATTTGTCAGCTATCGATATACTTTACTTTGACAATTTCTATAATCAATTCCTACTATATCATACAAATCTTATTCTATTAGCAAGACAACATACTCCTTACACTATCAGATCATAAATTTTCACTTTTAGTTGGCATGTACACATTTTTATACCTCATTGGACTTCGGTTTAAGCCTAGAATCAGCTAAATCTTAGCTCTGATACCATTAAATGTAACACCCCAACCCGTATTAAAAACCGAATACGAGTATGAGGTGTCACATTGACTTTTCAAAACATTTACTTATATAAAATAGTGAGCAATTTAAAACTTTTATAACATATAACTTATTCGAAACGTTTACAAAACTATTCAGAGCTTATAAACTATATTCTTTTGAATACATGTGTCAACTAGAACTTTATATATTAAAATACATATTATTCACCTCTCTTCTGATCTGACTTTCAGTAAGGAGAATTGACCTGTCTTGTTCCCCATTCCTCTTCACTCTTCTTGAAACCTATGTGTAAATCACTTACACGCTAAGTCTATGACTTAGTGAGGCAATAAATATATAATATAACCTATAACTTGTAATCATGCATGAACAATTACTGCTATCACATCATACCCAAACATATATCCATTCATATATCAAATCCACACATGCATATAATTATCTTCTTTCCTATCATTATCATATTATTACCATTTATATTTCTATTCTCTTATTTATATGATTTATTATGTTCATATCATATATCTTATAACATATACAATAATCACTAACACATAGATATCCTGTCATATAATTCATATCCCAAAACATACATATCACATACATTATATTTAATATCATCTCTTATTAGCCCATGTACACATGTGAGAACTGTAGATATGTGAGTCTATTGAGGTTGTGCACTATGCTATCACCACAGCTCGTATAATTCCCACTAGGGGCACGTAGAATTTGTCCCGAAGGATCACGTAGATGTCCCAAAGGACTACATATAACACATATGTCCCGAAGGACCACTATGTCCCGAAGGACCACTATGTCCCGAAGGACCGCGTAAACCCTCGACTCTTGGCATGCCAACTATACCTCTAGCTCTCAATACACATAACATAGGCATTTTCACTTATATCATTTCACATATACACTTTCATATCACCTGTTCATATAAGCTCATAGCTTATTTCACATATACATGTAGACATATAGCTTCTTTTCATGTAATTCATATCACTTTTCATATAATTTACATGTTCACATATCTATTTTCATATTCTCCTAGGATCACATAGCTCATATATATATCACATAGCACATACTTCTCATATACATATAAAAACATAGATCCTCATCACATAACTTATATTACGTGTTCCTATAATCATTTATATCTATACCACATAGTTATATCTATACCACATAGTTTATATAACTTTCTCTTGTCATTACATAAGTCATTATTATTTACATAGTTTATGATCATATAACTTATATCACAGAGTCACATCACACATAAATCATATCACATAGAAAAGAACATAACAATACATATTCACATACTAACGACTACCAACTATACTTATTTTCATGCCTTCATAAAATCAGAACATGGAAATAGACTCATCGCAAGTGTAATTTCCATATAATCATATACTATAATCATATGCACTCACCTTAGCCTTGTTTGCTTTGAATCAATCCTAATCCTTCGATTGTTTCGGAACAAGCTTTCATTCTATATCTACATAGTAATAAATTGATACATATCAGTATCCAATTGATATATTTTAATCTATCATTTCTTAGACAAAAAGAAATGTCTATTTCAATTTCCCCTTGAAGTGCATCGATACATTCTACAGTGCATCGATGCATTCTTTAACATGTGCATCGATGCACTACCCATGCATCGATACACCAATCACCTTCGATGTTTTCATTTTAAGGGGGTGCATCGATGCACTCCTTATGCATCGATGCACTAATTGTATTCGATGTTTCCATTTTTTATGGGTGCATCGATGCACTTCTTGTACATCGATACACACTGAACAATTTATGGAAATACCCTTGATGCATCGATACACATTGAATGTACATCAATGCACATAGCCCAGAATTCATTTTTATGCCCGAAAACCATCAGCTTTTCACTCAATTCTTATATTTTAAGCCCCTATCATGTCATTAAACTCAATTACCATTACTTAAACCAACTTATATTCATATAAACCATCTTTATCTTCCATATCTCATCATGATTCTTAAAATTTAAGAATCTTGCTAAAACTTTCAACTTTGTTATTAATCCTTTCTAACTTCATATATCTCTTATTCTTAGTGATGACAAGTCAAATTCCTTCTCAAATTTCACTTATTAACTCCTTTCCGGAAATTCATCTAAAAACTCATTTTCTTTAATCTCTTTTATATCTTCCATCTTGTTGTTTTAGAACAAATTAAGCTTTCCTTAAGCTTAATTATCATCTAATGATCATAACCCAACCTTAAAATAAAATAATTAATCAACAAACAAAGAAACTCACATTTGAGTAAAGCCTTCACGTATGAAGAAGAAAGAAGAGAAGAGAAGAGAACTCTAGAACCTTTCTCTCTTCCCACGTGGTTCCTTATCTTATAAAAAAAATTTATCTTGTCAAATGACCCTTTTACCCTTCAATTCATCTAATAATTACTAACAACTTTTATGATTTATTTTCAAATAAATCATTGAACTAATCCATGGTTATACTCTAGTCACCAAATTCTGAAACTTTACAATTTGGTCACTAACCCGATATTGAGGATGTTACAATGGTAAATGTGATTAGGGGGCCTGTAATTGTATTTTGTTTTATATACGAGTCTGAAAATATGTTTTATTTCTTAATACTGATAAATTTTATTTATTTTGTATTCATAAATCATTTTAAGAGTTACATGTTTTAATAAAAGTTTTAAATTTTTCGAGATTTTTACAGTAGGTCACTCCAGAGGTCCTAATGTGACACTTCATATCGGATCGGGTTACCTGCATCGGTCTGAGGGGGTTACAGACAATCACTAGTATATATGGAAAAAAGTGTATTACATTCAATCAATTTCGTGCAAATAAAAATTGAAAATATTATCACTCTTATCATGTAATGTTTCTAAATTATAACATATAAATTGATGAGTTATGGAACTTTGAAGGATTGAGGTATCTTCTTTGTGGTCAAATATCTCATTATTATTTATTATATAATTTAATGATTAGTAATTAAAATATATAAAATAATTGTTTAATTAATAAAAAAAATAACTGTCACTACGAGTTTTATGATTGGTTGATTAGAATATTAATGTCTTAAAAGTTAAGTGATTAAATTAAATTTTTTATTTTAAATAAAGTAAAATGGTAATGTCCTAAACATTGAGTGATCGTTTTTAATAATTTAACCTATATAAACATGGGATCTGCTTTTCTGTTTTTTTAATTTTCAGTCATGAAGTAATTATAATTATGATCCCAAAAAATCATAATCCACGGCTGACAACAAGTATATATAAAAGAAATAAAGAGACGTGATTTCAAATTGCGGTGCCACGTCATATAGCATAAGAATATTTCCATTTCTGGAACACACAGGATCATAATCCCGCCCACCCCAACTAGAAAATTACCGGTGCAAGTATTTATTGGCGGTGATAAATTATCACGTGCGGTCGTATTAATATACGGTTAAATTTTTTTATTGGTTTTGTTATTATTTAAATAATAAAATTTGTAAAAATTATTAGAAACATTATTATTTCTATTGATTTTATTATTTTTCTTATATGTTTTATTATTAATGAACATTTTACTGATTTTAGTTAATTTTTTTATTAATTTTATTATTTAAATAATAACATAATCAATAACACTTTTTTAATTATATATTAAAAATATGTAACTGTAAAACTTTCAAAATTTTGTTACCAATTTTCAGCCTTGTGCCATCATAGCACCACGCGCGAATTAACACGCACAACGGTTACATTTATATTTTAACTGTATATTTTTTATATACTTAATATAAAAATATATGCTCAAAGTATATTTGAAGGTAATTTTAAGTATCTATAGGGGCGGAACACAAGAGGGGTATGTGGGGGCTATGGCCTCCCCAAAAGTTAAAAAAATATAGTTGAATCCCTTACAATCTTTTAAGAATTTAATTTGACCCCCATTAAATTTTTAAATATTTAGATTAAGTTTTAAATTTTTTGAATATTCTTAATTAAATACTCCCATAATTTTTAAAAATTCTCATTAAACCTATGAAATTTTCAAAAATTTTAGTTATACCTCAACTTTTTTTAAAAGGAAAAAGTAAATTGAATCTTTCAAAATTTTTGAAAATTTTAATTTAAACCCCTAATTATTTTAAAATTTTAAGTTACCCCAAATTCTATCACCAAGTTCCGCCGTTGGGTATCTAAAGAAATTTTCGTTAGAAATAGGTGAATAACATTTTCGGTGTTATATTTTTTTAGGTACCTGAATCGTAACAACTATTAAATTTGACCGTTAAGTGATACGTGATAGACTTATAAAAAATTGTTTTAAGAATACATAAATTTATTATTTAAAAAACTCGGTATTTTTTGAAATTATAAAAAGCCCCAAAATCTTTAAAAATCCTAATTTCAATCGTGTATCACCTATTGGCCGTCAATCAACCAAAACTCTTAGGGGGTGTTTGGATGGGAGAATGTGGGATTCCCATGGGAATGGAATCCATATTCCCCCCGTTTGGTTAGCCCGTGAATCTCATTCCCGGTAATGTAAGATTATCAATAGTGGATTTTTGAGGGTATATTACCGAGAATGTCATTACCTCTATTTCCTTAGGTATTGTTGGATTCCCGGCATTTTAGACTAAAATGCCCTTAACTTTTTTTAAATATTATTTTTCTGTCATTAAATAATAAAAATTCTACGAATGTTAAATTACAAATTTTTCTGTTCTTAAACTATTTTAGATTTACAAAAAAAATTATAATTAAAATTTTATATGAAGTTCAGAGGTTAAAATAAAATTTTACCCTTTCATTAAACCTTTTTATATTTTCAATTTATAAAAAAATTATATAAATTTTATAAATTTAAAATTTTTAAAGAAAATATATAAATATTTTACAACTTGTTAAAAAACAAATATATAATAAAGATAATTCGGTCAAATATACATTCCAATAATCTTTTATTCTTTTAACCAAACACGGTAATCTTACATTCCTGCTAAGCCAATCAAACACAAAATACAACATTCCAGAAATCATATTCCCTAGTAATCTTACATTTCCACTAGTAATCTTTTATTACGTAAATCAAGCGCACCCTTATGACTTGTGACTGCTCGATTCCCTACAGGTCGAACCCCATGCTTCACGTGGTGATTGTAATGAAAAATTAGAAATCACATTAACTAAATGATTTCAACTATGTGCGACAATTTCTCCTGTCATACATTGGACTTAGGTTAAATAGAGTATCCGACGATAAAGAACGGCGAACATGATAATATTGCTGACAGTTGACGAGGATAAAGGGCTTTAGAATTAGAGTTTCTAGAATTTGGGTTTTTAAATTTAAGGAAAAAATTAAGGTTTTAAAATGAATTTTAATTTTAAGTTTTTTATATTAAAATAAAATTTCATCAGTCTAACACTTATCATTTAATGATCAAATTTAATAACTATTATAATTTATATATTTAAAATTACAAGAACTATTTTTTAATGAAAAATTCTTTTAAGTAACCAAAATAAACTTTGACTAAAAATTAGGCACTTATTCTTACATTTAAGTCATTTTTATATAATTTTATATTTTCGAGTAGAAAGACGTTAGAAGAAAGCTGTTTTAAGCGCCTCTCTGTTTCTTCTCCTTGATCACTTAAAGTTTTATTTCTTTACTATTTTTTTAGTCGGATTCTAGAACCAAAACAGTGAGTGAGTTTTTGAACCTGTTGTTAACGATCCATGTAGTGCGTACTCTACGGTTTGGCTTCTTCAAACCGATTCATCTATGGAATCTGACATTTCTTGGTTTGGAGAAGAAAATACTTCATTTGATTGAAATTTCAAGACAATTAAAGGTTGTTTCGAAGCTAATGAGGAAAAGTATAGGCGAGCAACGAACAAGGTTTTTGGCGTTTGTTTTTCTCTCCAAGTTAAGTGTTCATTTCTTTCGGATTTGAACGTGAATGGAAGGAGCGGCGTCTCAGCAGTGTCTGCAGTAGTGTTCTGACGAAGGGATGCTGCAGAAAAAAAAACAGAAGTTTATTTTTGAAGCGTTGTTTTCCTTATAGAGCTACAAGAAGGGAAGTAACTTTACGGTGAAGAAAGTTGATCTCTGGAAGAGCAACAAAATTCATTGGGTTCCTTCCCATAAGTTCATATTTTTTGAATTGATTCAAATTAGTAAGCATGAAAGCTCCACCAAATGGAATTTTGGCAAATCCTGCGGAAGGTTTGATCTTTCTTCTGTTTTCTTTTTTTACTCTGATTCTTTTTTTCGTTATCCCTTGGGCCAGTCAAAAGAGGCTATGGTTCTGACTTCCCAGTTCAGAGCAAGCGAGAGATTTTCTGAATTGTTAGTTCATATTTACTTTCTTTTGGATTTCCCCTATATTATCCACAATTTTTCATGTAAAATGCTGTATTTTTTATAAAAAAAGTAGATCATACGGATTCCATTTTGATAAAAATGGAAATAAACAAAACTAGAAGTTAAAATGTTATTGAGTGGCAAACTCTCCTCATTTCAATGAGGAAGGCTACGGTTTGGGGATCATTTATCATTTTGCAAATTGGAGATGAAACAAGAGGGGAAAGAAGAAAACATGTAACAATTTGTTTTATTTTTCTTTGTTAAAGTTCCAAGTACAAAGCCATGATTGTTATACAAGAATATTCATGATAATTTCTTGTTGTAGGAAAAAATTGGTATCTTTTTGCTTTAAGACTCTAATAGTTAATTTGTTGCCCTGTTTATTGTTCAACGTTTTACAGAATATGAATTTCGAAAACTCTTTGGTAGTTGATGCTTTAAATATTCTTTTACGACTTTGTGTGGTTTTGAGGGATGTTTGATAATGTTCTGGTTGGTTTTAGAAAGCAGGAGATAGGAAGAGTATCAATTCAGAATTATGGCATGCATGTGCTGGACCACTTGTTTTTTTGCCACCAATTGGAAGCGTGGTGGTCTACTTTCCTCAAGGCCACAGTGAGCAAGTAAGTCGCTTTCTTCATTCATTTCGAAGGAATAATTGTTATGAATCTGGACAGCTATGATATTTTTCTCAAGTTAATAAAATTTGTCCAGGTTGCAGCATCAATGCAGAAGGAGACTGATTTCATACCGAGTTACCCTCACCTTCCTTCCAAGTTGATTTGCATGCTCCATAACCTTACACTGCATGTAAAGATCAGGGCACCATTATCTATAGTTTTTGTTGCTGGAAGTTCTATTCGGTGCTAATTCATGCTGAAATATGAAATGGGAACATGACTTTGTAATGGTCAAAGGATACGAAAAATGCTAGTTATATGACTTTATGAAGTTGCTAACTTATTATTTTGAATTAGGCTGATCCAGAAACTGATGAGGTCTCTGCCCAGATGACTCTTCAACCTCTAAACAAAGTAGGTCAGCTATTCAATTTGAGAATTCATTAATGCATACCGCAGAGTCCTGTTCTTTCTCTCTTCAATTTTCTCGTATAGTGAAATATAGGAAGAATCTTTATTGTACTTCTGTACAGTATGACAAGGAAGCAATACTGGCATCTGATATGGGCCTCAAGCAAAGCAGACAACCTGCTGAGTTCTTTTGTAGCTCTTACAGCTAGTGACACTAGCACTCATAGCGGATTTTCTGTCCCTCGTCGAGCAGCTGAGAATCTTCCCTCCTCTGTGTGTTGGAACTTACAATATTTAGATTTAAGACTTGATAGGTGTGGCGTAAGCATTTTCTGCCTAATTTCTTAAGATCTAAATGATGATGTTTGGTAGGATTTTTCAATGCAACCACCTTGTCAAGAGATAGCAACAAGAGATTTACATGAAAATGCATGGACTTTTAGACATATTTATCGAGGTATTGCTCTCTTCAAGCTTTCACAAGCAGAGCAATGGTATTATAACATAACGATTGTGAATTGGTGAAAGTGTTTTATGCTACTAAACACTTTTGAAGCTAGGAGTTATTTCATTGCTTCCTTAAATTTTACTTAGATCTTTATCACTAAAAGTCTAATACTGTAAAGCGATGCTGGGGAGCCATAATTTTGTTCACTATATAATGGTAATTTATGTATCTTCATTACTAATGCTTTACGATGATACTAGCGAGTCATATCATTTTGTTCAACTTACAATGGCATCTTTTATGTTTAATATAGATGTCTGAAATGAAATAATATGTCCAAATACATAATGCAGGTCAACTTAAGAGGCACATTCTGACTACCGGTTGGAGTGTCTTTGTTAGCACAAAAAGACTCTTTGCTGGTGATTCAGTTCTTTTCATAAGGTGATTTGCTTAAATATAAAAATATATTATTGTGTATTGTACTCGTGTATTTGATAGAATCTACTAGATGGATGTCCATTTTGGTGCTCAACTTAAATTCTTTGCTTAAATGTAGAGATGAGAAGTCACAGCTTCTTTTGGGTATAAGGCGAACTAACAGACAGCAGCCGACTCTCTTGTCATCAGTAATTTCTGGTGATAGCATGCATATAGGGATCCTAGCCGCTGCAGCAAATAACAGCCTATTTACCAAATTCTACAACCCGAGGTATTGCTATAACATATGTTGTTTGTTCTTAGATTCTTCATTATTGTTTAATCATCATTTTTTATGCAAAAGAAAAATATGTTAATATAAGGTCTCAAAATATTTAATTTATTTTGATAGAGCAAGCCCTTCTGAGTTTGTGATCCCCTTAGCGAAATATAGCAAAGCTATGTATACCCAAGTTTCTCTTGGCATGCGGCTTAGAATGATGTGCGATGGAAAAACTCACAGTGGCGTATCTACAGGTATTCTTTTGACATGTGCCTGGTATACTTCCAGCGGAAATGCATTAACATGTGCCAATGGTATACTCGTAGAATTTTTCCTGCTGGACCGTACATACATTTTTAAAGTAATACTTGTTTAATTTATGTTCAAGTCAAGATATTGTGGCTAAAGGAGAAAATACCGCATGACTTTCTGTTTTGGCAATTTACTTTTATATTCTCAACAGGTTGGATGGGATGAATCTACAGTTACTGAATGGCCAAGGCGAGTTTCACTTTGGGAAATTGAGCCTGTTGTATCTCTTTTCTTCATATGTCCACCTCCATTTTTCAGGCCCAGGTTTCAAAAGCAACCAGGGATGCTAGGTAAATCATGTTCACTAGATATATCTTGTTGTAAGCAGGGCAAGAAGGAATGGAAAATTTTCAAGAAACTTAGGTCTCTTTGAAAATGCGTTTGCAGATGATGGTTCTGATGTTGAGAGTGCTTTCAAGAGAGCTATGCCTTGGCTTGGAGATGAGTTTGGTATGAAAGATCCCCCTAGTTTAATCTTCCCTGGTGTGAGTTTAGTTCAGTGGATGAGCATGCAACAAAATAATCAGTTTCCAACTGCTCAATCAGGATTCTTTCCATTCATGGCTTCTTCGAATCCGCTGCAAAACATTCTAAGCATTGATGATCCTTCCAAATTATTGAATTTTCAAGCTCCTGTACTACCTGAATTGAATACGCAATTTAATAAAGCAAATCCAAACCAGGTCAACCAGTTGCCTCAGGTACCTGTGGCTTGGCCCCAGCAGATATTGCAGACTCCTTCAAGTCAATAGCATCAGCAGCAATTGCAGCAACAACAGCCATAACAATCACAGCCATCTCCTAAGCCAGAACAGCAGCAGCCACAGCCGCAGTCATCTCCTAAGCCACAGCAGCAGCAACAGCTGCAACAAGCAATCCTACCACATCAAGTTGGCGTCATTGCTCCTAATCAGATTTCAAATCAAAATTTGCATCAGTCAGCTGTTTACTCTCAGCTGCAGCAGCAACAATTACTCACAAGCAATAACCAGTTAACCCAAACTATCCTCTCTTCTAATATGACTTCATATCCTTTGACGTCATTACCACAAGATACATGGGTTCAGCAAAGGATGGAACAACAACCTAACCTTGTACAGAGGCAGCAACAACAGACACAGTTACAGCAAAGCCTGTCCCAGAGGACTCAGAAGCTGCCACAGATCCAGCAACTGTCACAGCAGGGTCTCACAGAGCAACTGCAATTACAACTTCTCCAGAAATTGCAGTAACAGCAGCAGCAGCAGTCATCTCAACAATTACTCTCCCCATCTGGATCATTGTTGCAGCCTCCTATGGTGCTGCAACAGCAAATTCATCAACGGAACCAAACCATTGCAGCAGTTACCTCTTTCTCCGAGCCAGGCACAATCACTTGGTATCAATGGCTGCTCAACATCAATGTTTGTGCAACCTCAACAGCTTTCGGTGAATCAACCCCAAAGTCAGAACAAGCCACCTATGGCGATGAGAAGTAATTCTGGTCTTACTGATGGAGATGCTCTGCCATGTTCGACCTTACCTTCTACCAATAATTGCCAGGTTTCTCCATCAAACTTTCTAAACAGAAGTCACCAAGTACCATCCACATTGATGACAGATCGGTTTGGTGAGCCTCCAAACACACTAGCGCAAGAGCTACTAAGCAAGCCTGATATCCAAATCAAACATGAGCCACCCACCTTTAAAGGACTAGACCAATCAAAGTACAAAAGTTCTGTAACAAACCAATTAGAAGCATCCTCTTCTGGAACATCATACTGCCTGGATGCCGGCACCATCCAACATAATGCCTCCCTCCCTACCTTTCTGGAAGGTGATATCCAATCACATTCTCGTAACAATCTTCCTTTCACAACTAATATTGATGGATTGGCACCTGAGACTTTGTTAACAAGGGAATATGACTCTCAAAAGGATCTTCAGAACATTCTTTCTAATTGTGGTGGGAATTCAAGAGATATTGACACAGAGCTGTCTACTGCTGCTATAAGTTGTCAGTCATTTGGTGTGCCAAATATATCTTTCAAGACTGGAGTGCTCAAATGACGTTACCATCAATGACACAGGAGTTCTAATTGGTGGATTGTGGGCAAACCAAACTCAACGCATGAGGACATATACAAAGGTGTGTGACCCCACTAGTTATGGTTATGCTTGCCACCTCATTTGTTCTCTTTCCTAGATATGTTCTAATTTCATGAAAGAAAAGGTGGGGTTAGATATTCTTATGCTTGGGCGAGTCTCATGAAGGCCAAAGAAGCTCTCAAGGATGGCTTTTTCTGGAGAGTGGGTATGGACAGCAAGGCTCACATGTTTGAGGATAAATGGGGGGACGCTTGTCCTATTCGTTGGAACGAAAGATATATGGATCATGCTGAACAGCCGGTTAGAGTTGCGGATTTTATGATTCCAGGGTGTGTGAGGTGGGATGAACATAAGGTGGCTAGAGTGCTACGGACGGAGGATGCTTCGCAAGTTCTTAGAACGTTGATAGCCTCGACCTGGGGTGACAGAATGTTGTGGGGTCATCATAGTTCGGGATGTTACTCTGCTAAGTCGAGCTATAATTGGTTGAAAATTCAAAATAGCCCGTCTTTGATTACGAAAGGCATTTGGAACGCTGTGGCTAAAGAGAAGGTTCTTCCAAAAATCAGAATTTTCGGTTGGCGCATTTGTCATGAAGCCATTCCTGTGAGATCTAAAATTAAACAAGCAAAACTTGGAGATGGCGTTTGCCCTCTTTGTCTTATTGAGCTGGAATCGATTATGCATGCGATTAAAGATTGCCCCAAAGTAAAGATGATTCTTTTGATGTCGGGTCTTCTCCCCGAGATTGTTGATTGGTGAGGAAACTCTTCTCTCCTTTGGTTGTCACATGCTCAGTCCAAGCTGAATGGTGAAGGATTTGAATTGTTTCTTGCTTTGCTTTGGAACATTTGGAACCGGCGCAATAATTTTGTTTCATAATGGGGAATTGCAATCGGATAGGGACATCATTATCAATTCTTCGAATTTGATTGGGGATTACAAAATTGCTTCGAATCCTTTAGGGAGTTCAAGTGATGGTGTAGTTCTTCGAAGACCGCATTTTTGGTGTAAGCCTACCCAGGATGAGGTTAAAATTAATGTTGATGGGGCTTATTGTAAGGCTTCTCGAGTTGCGGCTGTTGGCATAGTGGCTCGGGATTCACATGGAATGGTTATCGGGGGTTTGGGTAAGAAGATTGATCCTCCGTTCATGGCTGAGTCCACTGAAGCAATTGCTTTTACTGAGGGTATTCGCTTCACTTCCGAGAATGGTTGGAATAATGCTATTATAGAAGGCGATGCCATTTCGATCGTTTACAGGTTGTCTAACCAGGTCACTAAAAAGACACAAGACATTTCTACTATTGGATTGTTGCTCGATGAGGCTAGACTGATTTTAGCTGACCTCCCTTCGGTTAAAGTGCACTATGTGTGTAGGGAAGCTAACCGAGTTGCCTATTCTTTAGCACAATGGGCCTTATCGAACCACAATCCAGTTTGGTTTTTCATAGACGAATCTGATTGTATTAAGCAAGTTGTAATTGATGATGCTATTGGAATATAAGCTTTTATTCCTTAAAAAAAAATAACGGGACTTGGGCAGAGAGTAGTATTTTTGGCATTGCCTAAACAGGCACACTGAATCAAAAATTGCTTAGGAGGCCAGTTTTAAACCTTGTAATTCTACCTAGTTTTTGAAAAAATGGGGAAAACATTTATACGGTGTAATCAGATGTTGCAACCTCACAATTAGACAGTTTCTAAGATCTAAACTATCTTTTTTTTATTCAGTCTGTGTCTCTGTGATACATATATGTCATAAGGGCAGTTATTAATTTTAGGTAAATATACAGATCCTAATCTACATTTACAGTTGTGGTATTTTCTAAATGATCAATTCTCTATATCTTTCTGAAAAGCTCTATATTCTTGTTGCCGGTTTGAATTCATGAAGGTGCAAAAGCGTGGCTCTGTTGGAAGATCAATCGATGTGACCCGCTACAAAGGGTATGATGAACTCAGGCATGATCTAGCCCGCATGTTTGGTATCGAGGGGCAGCTGGAAGATCCAAAAATTTCTGGCTGGAAATTAGTTTATGTGGATTATGAAAACGACATATTACTTGTTGGCGACGATCCTTGGGAGTAAGTGCATGAACCCAATTTGAAATTTTAGCTTTTCAGATTTGGTCTCTCTGCCAATATTATAACTTTTGAAAGTTTAATCTTTGCAGAGAATTTGTAAGTTGTGTTCAGAGCATAAAAATACTGTCATCACCTGAAGTACAGCATATGAGCTTGGATGGTAATCTTGGAAATGTAGCAGTTTCCAATCAAGCCTGTAGTGGGACTGAAAACGCAAATGCATGAAGAGGGCATTACGATGATGGCTCGGCAGTCTCATTTAACAGATAAGGTTTCTAGATTCGGATGCAAAAATTGTATCGACATATATATTTCTTCACTTGGACTTCGGCATGGCGTGTGGATGAATATGGCGCATGCTTGTTCACTCAAAATGACACAATTTAACCAATTCCTTCCAAGAGAAGTGACTGAGCCTCCAGAAAATGTGCTGATTCTTTGGTGTAAAATTGTAAACCGCCGCCGCGGAGTTAAAATAAGATCTGTGTTTTAACTTAAGCATCCACTAAACTTTCTCTTTTGTTGGTTGTTGTATAATGATGTAAAGTGCAGAAGAAGCAAGGGGCTAGGCAAGGGACCCTTGATGTATAATACTAGAGAGCTGATCTCACATTCTCTCCTGTAAATGGAGTATGATGTAGAGCACGTTATCCGAAGGACGTGTAGTTTCGTTGTAGCTACTACATGGCAGATGGTAATTAGCATCAACTTTTGTTCATGTCGTGTCTAATATTAATAATTATAGGCACTAAATTGCAATAATTTTTCTACGTAAGCTACTGCATGCATGTTATACTTTACATGCAACAGCAAGTTTCAGTTTTGGCCCGGCTGCCCTCAGCCGTAATGACAGCCGAATGACAATTCATGGCATTGGAATGTGGAATGGTTTGCAAAGTGAGCCCACGTTATCCATTTTGCAGCCTCGGTCCACTCCTAATTTACGCAGTCTAAAGTTGTTGCTAATTTTTCATACAAAATAAACTGAGATTTTCAACGACAATTGACAATCTTAATTAAGCTGTCATAGGAAGTAGGAGAAAAACAGAATGGAATGAGGAGAATTATTGGCAGAGACATCTGTCTCTTGTCAAAGTTGACGATTAGTTGGGATTTGGTGTTCCACGGCACAAAGATGAAAAAGAAAAGAAACTAATCATACAAGAAAACAAGAGAAAATTAAAGATAAGAATCCTATATAAATAATATTTTCAAGCGTTATAATAAATCTCATATTAATTACCCTTGAAGTCTTACCAAAATACAAATTCACCTTAATTCGACCTTCTGGAAAAAAGACAAAACAACAATAAATAGAAGCAAAGTAAAGAACCTTCCCTACATCCTCCACGTGTCCACCATCAATGTAATGAAAACAAATAAATTCCCTCGCACGTTTTGCGTCTCTATCCATATCCAACGGCTCTAAAGCTTCCACCTCGGGTACTCACGTTTCCATCACCGAAAAATCCCGGACGCATTTCCCTCTTAATTTTGTACGTGGCAGCTTCTCAAATGTCCACGCGCGCTCTCCGCCCCGCCGCCTCCCTCCTTTTTTTTCCACTTCCTTTGCAAATCAGCCCCTATATTAATTCTTCTTTTATTATACAAGAATAATCCAACAAAATTGAAAAGTGAGAATCAAGGAGAGGAAAAATGGTGAGGCCGATAGGAGAGAGGGATGACGGCAGCCGTTACAAGGGTGTACGGATGAGGAAGTGGGGGAAATGGGTGGCGGAAGTACGCCAACCCAACAGCAGAGGAAGAATATGGTTGGGTTCTTACAAGACGGTGGAAGAAGCCGCGAGAGCTTACGACGCCGCCGTTTTCTGCCTGCGGGGGAATTCGGCAAAGCTAAACTTTCCCGAAAATCCTCCGGATATAGCGGACGCTGGTGATTTGACGACGGCTCAAATCAAGGAAGCGGCTTTCAGGCACGCTGGTCGGGTTGCTGAAAAAGAAGGAACGGAAGTGGGTGCTGCTGGTAATTCTTATGCAGAGTGTAATTTCGAGAGTGGTGGTATCGGAGACAGATCCGGCCGCGCGTATTTTCACCCGCCTGGTGTTTGGACTTTCTAGCACTACAAGTTACTGTTATTATTATTATATTTCTTTTTTAAAGTTGGAACTGGTTCATTGGTAGATCCCATGTTAGTGGCATGCAAATTTTGATAGGCAAAAGATTTGTCATGTTTGTAGATGGAAAGATAATGGCAAGTTTCTGTAACTGATTTTCATACCCCTTTTTTTAATGTGTTTCTTTAGATTCAACAATGTTTGCCTATGAAAAAGAATGGAAGCTTGGAAGTGTTTGTGGTGGTTTTGTCGGAACGAAACTCGTGGGTTTGGAATAAGAAGCAAAAGATTCGTTGAACTAACCTAACAGGTTTCTTTGTTTTTGAGGTTTTGTCTATAAAGGAACATTATTGATATTGAATTTTTAGCTACCTCTTTACTATTGCGGCTTGACTTTTGAGACACGCCCAAACTTGAAGTAACCGAAATATCATTCCCAAATTGGATTCATCTTCTTCTTCACCATCATCACTTTCAGGTTTTTCCCCACTGGAAATGATCCTCATTTGTTCAATAGCAGAAACTATTTGGAAACTTGCCATCTCGTGTTGGATTAACTTCTTCCATCAATGCATTTCAACTTTGTTAAACCGACATCACTCGATCATGAATGTTGCCACTGATGCATCAATGTTGTTGCACGTGCTAGGCACCAGCCACATGGTTCCCCCAGCCCCAGCTTGGCATGACAATTTTAAATTGGTTGCTTCAACTTCTTTTTGGACCACTTGAGTCGTTACTTCATCATTTAAAATACTTCTGAATTAGAAGAATCTCAAAAGAAAATTCTAGACGACACAATGTAATGGAATTTTAATGTTTTTTTTTAATTCTTTTTGACCTAAAAATTTTAATTTATAGAAATATGTAATATTTTCGATTATAAGATTACAGAGTTTTAAGAAAATAAAATGAAAGCTCCACCATTACTGATTGCCTGGCTAGCTCCATCAGCACCTACATGCTTAAGGGGACGGTGCTCTCGTGCTCCACCGTTTCTACCGAACGCTATATATTACTCAATGGCAGCAAGGACCACTGCCCACAGACTAGGCATAGGTGCAACAGCTGGTGAAGGCAGAGGGGCAGAGTTTGTTCCTGGTGGAGTAGGTTTGTTGCCCCATGAACACTGCAGAATCCAACCATTTTAAAGGTCATGCCACAATAACATAAAAGTTGCACTGGCCATAGGCGCCAGAATCAAATCTACAAGCAAATCCACCACAACTCTACTAATAGTTCCACAACAAGGTGAGTGGGTAGCTTTTGGTGAGCCAAAACATTAGATGAGTGGCGTTGGTTGGTGGCATCAAACGTACCATTCAAGCCAATTCCCTGTAATAAGCCAAAACAAAATGATGGAAATTTTAATACACATTCAGTGTATAGAAACCGGACATACAGAAGCATAAGTTCCACGTACCATTCAAGTCAATTATGGAGGGTAGTTACGCTGTAAGACAACCTTAATAGGGCTACGGATAAATCCCATAGGAAATTTTAATATTTTTTAACATTTCTTATAAAGTATTACTTAAAATATTATTTTTTTACTGGAAATGGTAATTTTATTAACTAATTTTCGGTAGATCCTAATATTAACATTTCCGATAGAAAAAAATAATATTTTAGGTAGCGTTTTACCGGAAATGTTAAACATTTTAGGTAGCGCTCAATATTAATATTTTCGGTAGAAAAAATAATGTTTTAGGTAACGCTTTACCGGAAATGCCAAAAAAATATTAACATTTCCGTTAGCATTTTTCCTTAGTAGTATATTAAGGCTGCCGCACCTGAGACATCCCATAACACTTTGGGCATATGACGAAGAAAAAAATGTGTGGCAGAAACAGAAAGATGACTAAAATGGACATAATAGCAGCTGATTCCTGGAATTAAAAACCAAAACCTCTTGCACGCCTCGTTTTGTTATCCCACATAACCCTTGCATCCCTGCAACAAAAAAGGGGCTAGTTCAATGATTGCAACAAAGTCCCTTTCCACCAGATTTCCATTTTTCCAGCGGCTCAAGATTGTTAAAGAGTAATCTCAGGGTATGAGAAGGAAAACCAGTACTTACGAACAACTGGTGTACATAGAAAAGCTTGCAAACAACGTAGCATCTGTAACTTCAGGGCCAAGATCAGTAACAAAAATGCTGTGATGACCTGAACGCAAAAAAGCACATGCAGAATAAGTTGTTGAAGCATACACGGGTATGACATGAGTAGATTTCCTAGGTGCACATTAGGATACCTGATGTACCCTCCCTCTGACCACCAGCATATGCCCAATTAACTTCAATATGTTACCCAAATCTGCAAAGATGACCATGGATTAAGATTATAGGAAAAGGGAAAAGACTAAAACCACAAGGTCTCATTAAAATACTTACAGATGCCTTCCATTAAGAGTCACGGGGTGAATATTTCTTGCAGCAGGGGATGAATATTTCCCACATACCTGCAATTTCAGATAAGGTAAACTAAAACACAATGCCTCGAAATAGACAAAAACAGAAAATTCTACGATCTCCTAAGCATAATTTAAGACCGAGGCCATAATTCTTTACTGCATGCATGTGAGAAAGGTGTCATGGTGGCCGGAGATTACCGGTGGTGATGAATGTAAACGGCTAGGGTCTAGTAATTGACTAGAACGAATATAGAGGAGAAACAGGAAAAGTGTATTTTGAATGAAGTAAATTGCAATACAACCTGATAGCTCACTCACAACTATTGAGTTTATATAACCCAAAACCATAACCAACTATGAACAAATCTAACTAATTATAGTTGAATCAATGCAAAGGCTTTTCCAACTGATTTTATCAATACAGCTCCATATGAAGGATCCAAAGGTGAAAATTCCTATCACACTTTGATTTTAACTAAAGAAACCCTTTTTGGGCCTAAACACTCCATTCTACCATTGAATCCGCTTAATGAATTCTAAATCATACAGTATAAAGACTCATTACGAAGATAATTTATCCAAGTCATTTTATTTTATTTACAATATCATAATTTAATATTTTAATTTTATTTGAAGGATCTAACATGTCATCCATTAGATCAACTGATAATTGATTAGTTGATTTTATATTTTTATTATTAATAATCGAATACGTTTTATATAATACTTGTACAATAAATATAAAAAAATTAAATTAATTATTTGAGTAATCTAATTGAGATTATATTTTAATATTTGAGTTGTTTTTTTATACGAGTATTTCATAATTTAAATCTCGACTCATAGTGGCTCATGTTTCATATATGACAAATTGAAATTTTCTTTTTATGAAAAGCACCGGCCAACTCCAGCTAAATGTAGCGAGAGAAGAGTGTTCACACCTTATTTCACAAAGCATATAAAACGATAAATAAAATGAAAAAGATAGGTTTGTGTTTGTCATGGATTAAGAAAATCGATGCCCGAGTGTGGATTGCATATACATAGACGCGTCCCCATTCCATATGATTATCATTTGGGAGTTCAAATACGCGTTGTCGTTGACATGTCTTTACGGGAGATGTTGAAAATTGTCGACGATCACAATTCATAGGCATTCCATTTTCACACGTTCAAGCTTTTCTTTAACGTGGGCCTTCATGAATTTCATTAACTGTACACAAAATGACATGCAACAGTTCCTTATGGGATTTTATGTATTTTGTAGTGTTTCCAACATGACAGGAAAACGAAATTTTGATTCAAAATTAACATAAAACCGGAAATTCCTTGATACAAATAAACTAATCACCAGTCAGATTTGACTGCGAGTTATGATCTACGAGAGCTTTTAGAGCTGATAATATGAAGAAAGCATGAATAGATAGGTAAGAAAACAGCAGGCCGACCCTGCTGAAAAAAAGAAGAAGAGAATAACAAAGGATACAAGGCTTAAGAAAAGCCTCAAAAAGACGAGACCTCAAACATTGGCTTAGATTACTATGGTGATGGAGCAGCCAAACCCAGCCATGACTTGCTGTCGCCCGACTTGGAAGCTGATGCGGCGGAGCTAGTTATCTGGTATGGTGCTTTCGAGGTGATCCTGGAGAATGATCATAACGATATCAACATCAATAACTACATACAACCACTCCCAACAAGGAAGATTCGAAATCCTATACACAACCAATATGCAAGTAACCTACAACATTTCTCTATACCTACCTATCCTTGCGCTTCTCTAGGAACCGATGCAGCGAAGCTCTCCTTGCAATCGGCAGATCTGTTGCGAACAGACATAAAAACTGATAAGAAAACATATATAAAACATGAATTATAAAGCAAAAGTCCATCTCCCTAACTCCTCAAATTAAAGAAACTGAAGTGGACGACAAGGATTACCGCCAGGAAGAGGTCGCTGAGCAGGTTGAACCGTTTTCAAGGTGGGAGGAACTCCGAAGCTGGATTTGATTGGACTTCTTGCTCTGCTGGTTTGTGAGCTGCTCTTGCTAGCTAAAAGCATGATTTCCTTAGCTTTGTCGGCTGGGAAATCATTAAAAGAAATCACTTGTCCACCATAAAAGATGGTCATCTGTGCAGTTTGAGGCTCAGACATTTTCATGTTAGTAACACTACACTCAACCCTTTTCCGAACATCGTCCTTAGGAGCCAGTGCCAAAAAACCAGCTCCTTGAGGGCACAAGTCCATAGATCTCAAGTTCCTAGGAGCTCCAACGGTTTGGCTACAAACATCGCCGGACTTATCATCGACGGGAAACAAATTCATAGTCGTAGGCGGCACCTGTGGGGTCCCTGCAACATATCCATAAAAAAAGCGGCGATACATTAGAGATTAGACTCAAATTCTGTTGTTGTAGAACTTGGTTTAATGTTTAAACGACTTATGTTTTCTTCTTTATGAACCAAACCAAGTAAAAGCTATTTATAACGAAGAATCCGATGACCCTATTCCTGTCTACTTAAAAACGATAAAATCTCAACGGAATTTCATTCTAAAAAAACATACGTCCATAATTCAGATCTCTGTCATCCCGCAAAGATTGAAACAGTTGAATCACGTGCTCTATTTTCTTCTTCACAATTTCTTTTTTCCCAAACAAGTTTTCAAAATTTGAGTAATTTCAGGGAATGACCGAGAAATTAAAGGGCATGTTTCTGACTGTTTCGAAACATTAATTATGAATATGTCAATTTGCAAATCTGATTTTGAGGATCCGTATGTTATAAAACTAACAAAATAAATTAAAACCAAAAAGACCCTAACTTTGAGCATTAATCTCAAATTTTTGAAAGTTAAAACGGGTAATTGAGGTTGAACTTTGAAATAAAAGAAACAGCACAAAGCTTAATTGAACTTCATTTATATAAACTGAAAAAAGAAGCAAAGAAATTAAATGAAACGAACATCTTACCGTTAGTTTCAGCGTTGCATGTCATTCCCAGAGATAGATCTCCGAAGCTACCTTTCTCCTTCAAGTACTGACTCAACAAATTACAAGTTTGGGCAAAGCTTGGTTTCTCCGGCAACATCCCCGGTTTAAAACCCGTAGATTCCGAGGAACACGACATACTTCCGACTAAACAGAATCCAACTGTTTTGACCCCTTTTGCTCTTTTGGGTTTTCAGAGGGTGAACTTACTTTAACAATTTCATTAAGAGTCTACTTAAATGTCTTTTGGGTTTTCAGAGGGTGAACTTACTTTAACAATTTCATTAAGAGTCTACTTAAATGGGGATGCTTTTCAGCCAAGGAATATATGTATTTATATATACGAGGAGGAGGAGGAGGAGGAGAAAATGGTAATGTTGATCTTTGGAAACGAAAAGCCGGGGAGAGAAGGATGGTGATGGGTTAAAAAGCACGAGGAATAAATGTTTTCCTTCTTTACAGGTTTTTTTTTTTAAATTTAGTTAAGTCTTGTGTTTTTGTTTATATGCAGAAATTTATATGCAGAAATTTATTTGTAGAAATTACTCCCTATTACAGACACTCATATGAAGACTGTATATGAAAAATATTTAATTATATATTTATTTATACATGCATTGCATTTTATCTTTATTTTTAATTTTTCTGATTGTCGAAAGTCTTCCACGAAAGTTACTCTCAACCTTATATTTATAGTCAGTTTACTATTTTACCTCCCCTTATCTTATTACATATGGGAATAAGATTTTGTTATTGTTTACCTTATTACATATAAGAATAAAATTTTGTTATTGTTTTTGTGGTTGAGTATCAATGTTTTATTGTTTGCTTTGTTTTAGGTTTTCAAAAACATGTTTTTTCTCATTGTTTTCTCTTTTTGATTCTTCTTTTTTTTACCCACAACAATATTTTATAATTTTTATTTTAAATTCGTTATAAATAATTTTTAAACTTGTAAACAATTATATATCCAAATTATAATTATATACTATCGTATCCTCTATTAATAAAATTATTATTAAAATCATTAATCGTTATCAAAACATTTATGTATATTGTATAAAAATATCATAAGATATAAATGATAATTAATATTAGATCTAATTAAAAATTATTATTTAACATACTATGAAGAATGAAAATAATTTTATAAATGAAGTTAAGATTATAAAAAATATCATAAGATATAAATGATAATTAATATTAGATCTAATTAAAAATTATTATTTAACATACTATGAAGAATGAAAATAGTTTAAGAAATTGTTATTGTTTTTAGAGATTAGGATTCGAGCACCAGCAACTACAAGAGTGATTAAACATTTATTTTAAAATGGTTAAGAGTATTTATACTTGATACTACTTTGTAATCACTTCTAGTTTAATAAAAAAAATTATAATTGTATTTATTTTTTAATAAATATTTAAAAGTAATAAACATAATGCGTTATCATTTTTTTTTTTGTAACAAAGAGTAAACTAACGGCTACACATTGATATTGTGTTGGTCTTCCTGTAATATCTGTTTCACTTCCTTCCATAACAACCTTGCATTCCGAGCTCCACCTATTTGCTAACTTTGTCATTCCATCCTCAACTTGATTTTCAAGCGTAGAAACATACTGAAAATTAACCACCTAGTTCCTTTGCATCAACTCGAGAATGTTGTGTAATTGTGTAAACCAAAAATATACCATTCTTAACCTGTTTTATCAACTTGATCGTTTCTAAATTATTCGTCTCAACGATAATTTGCCGACAACCCAAGTCCCATATGCACAACAAACCACAATACACTCCCCATATATGCGATTCTAGTATCGAGCATAGGCCAATAAACTTAGAATAACCTATATACCAGTTACCCATATGGTTTCGGATCACCCTCCACACTTTTCCAATCAATTTTCCTTACAACGAGTCCTGTTTGAGTTAACCTTAAACCATCCTAACGATGGTGGTTGCCATTTTCTATTGTGAAATAATCGTTGTTCCCTTGTAAGAGTTATTGTCGTCCCTTTCTCTAACGCCCTTTTCGTAATATCCAACCAATGAAGACTGTGTTCCAGTGTTGGTCTTTCATCGGATAGAGGGTTATTAAAAGCCACTGCATTTATAGAAATCCAAATATTCTATACCAACTCACCAAACAAAATATCCCAATCATCATTTTTTTCAATGTATTGAGTAGAATTGCACATGTTCATTGTTATCCAATCGACAATATTCATTTGAATAAACTCTTGTTGCCATTTCTATTGAATAATCGTTGTTCCCTTGTAAGAGTTATTGTCGTCCCTTTCTCTAACGCCCTTTTCGTAATATCCAACCAATGAAGACTGTGTTCCAGTGTTGGTCTTTCATCGGATAGAGGGTTATTAAAAGCCACTGCATTTATAGAAATCCAAATATTCTATACCAACTCACCCAAACAAAATATCCCAATCATCATTTTTTTTCAATGTATTGAGTAGAATTGCACATGTTCATGTATCCAATCCAACTCACCAAACAAAATATCCCAATCATCATTTTTTTCAATGTATTGAGTAGAATTGCACATGTTCATTGTTATCCAATCGACAATATTCATTTGAATAAACTCTTGCAGTCGTTCTCATTTTACCACTCTCGCCCATATTGTATGTGCTGATGGACAAAGACGTAGTGCATGGTTTATATATTTATTTGCTATACAAGTTGAGATGACGACGTTTATGCTCCGCATTAGTCATCACCCGCTCGCAACATACAAGCCACACAAACGTTTTTACCTTTTGGGGACCTCGATTTTGCTATCACTTCCCATATTGTCTCCCCATTTCCTTAACAAAGGTTTGTGCAGATGGAGTAAGTTGTCTTCACTGAGAAACTGCAATAATTACTTGGTAACCAGCCAACAATATATGTACGATATGTGACTACGGACTTGTCTTGGCTGCGAACCGGAGTATAATATTTGGTGGCAAAAGATGTTCAAAGCACTGTCATCTCCAATTCCCTTGTTCATCTGCCATATCAGCCACTGTAACTCTTTGCAGTCCCACCGCTCCAGCAACAATAACATGTTCAATTAGAGGATCGATATCATCAAGCCAACCATCAAACCAGAAATCAACCTCACAGCCATTCCCCACGCACCATGCTATGTTACGATTGACATCCCCTCAAATGCACTCAATACCATTCCACATCATAGAACCATTTGATGAATGTCTTACCTCTGGGACACCAGTACCACATTTATATTTCGCCCGAATAAATCGAACCCAAAGGTTCTTTTTATTCATCAAGATATTAAATGCCAGCTTCATTAAAAATGCTTCATTTTAAATGGTCAAATGACGAAATCCCAATCCTCCGTCCTTGATGGATTGACAAATGTTCTCCCATTTAACAAGATGAATTATTTTCTTGTTCGGATGTACACCAAAGATAATGTTTGCTTAGACCTTCTATACTCCTACAGATTGGTCGACTACACCGTGTATATAGGGAGTGCCATGAGAATTGATTTTGCCAATGTTATTCGACCGGCAAATGATATAGTTCTCATTTTCCAGCAATTCAACCTATTTTTCACCAATTGAACTAAATATTGATATGACGCTGTTGTGACCCACTAATGAAGTAGAGGTACACCTAGGTACTTCCCAAGATCCAACGTGTCATCATCTTAAAGTCATTTATAAAATTAATTTTTTACTATTAACACACTAAATAATAATTTAAATAAAAAATACAATTATATTTAAGAGAAAAATAAAAAAAACTTTATTATTTCACTAAAAATAATACTTATGGAGGTATGATACAATATATATATATATATATATAGGTTAGGATCCATATACATAGTAAAAGTCATTAGTTTTACATAGATTTAGGATTATTAGATGAGTGAAAATAAACGGTTGAGATTGACTCATTGTTTTTTTCCCAATAAAAAATTATTAAATTTAGTTTAATGTGTCGAAAATAAAAAAAATTACATACCTATTATTTAGAAAAAAAGAATATTAAATTTTAGATCTCATTTTAAAGTCATCATTTGATATTATTTTTGTTCATGTACAAATAAATATTTAAATTTAAAAATATAAAAATTTATTAACTATTTAATCAAGTAGTGGTCGAACTAAAGAATGATAAGTCTGTGTTCTCAAATTTTTGGTCTAATTACAATATAAGTCTTTGTAAGCTTAAATATTAGATAAATTATAAGTTTTCTCTTGAGTTTTGAGGGGTTTTTTTTTTAAATTTAGGGTGAATATAAAGAAATATTTGTACAAAGACTTTCAACTATTTGACAATGAACACTCATATCCCTACATACGTGCTTGAACTCGGAATCTCAAGGATAGCAACAATCCCTTAATCACTAAGGTCGCTTGATTCATGTCGAATTTCGAGTTTAATTACCTAATAAGTCTTTATATTTTTCTTAAATAGTCTAATATTTCGACTCCGACCAATATTTAATTATGACTCCGTCTCTGAATATACCGTTCCTGAATATATGTATATGTTAGCTTTGTTTTAGGTTTTCAAACAAGTTTTTTTATGGTTTTCTCTTTTTGATTTATCATTTTTCTTCTCAACAGCGATGCTTTATAATTTGATTTTATGTTCCTCTTTGACAGGTTGTTCATGACATACATAATAATTTTTGTTTTCTTGAAATTAAGAGAAATTATACTTTAAAATATAATTTAAATAAAAACTAAATTTAAAATAGGATTTCAGTTAAAATGGTTTCATATCTCATACCGATGTAATTGTCATATGAATAATATTGAAGCCAAGGTTTTGTTTTACTCAGCTCATATATTTGACTTAAATTTCAATTTTCTCGGAATAATTTTATTTCTATGAAAATTCTAAGTAAAACAGTCAAAACTTGAAACACGAACAACATGGTAAAGTCAAAAGTCTACACAGAGGATACCATGTTTCTCTAAAACATGCCTACTTATTTTTATGTTCACATAAACAAACAACTATTCAGCTGCCTATACTATTCCATAATTTATTATCTATTCAACATTTTGTGATATCTTTCACACTGCTTTACCTTTTAAAACTTATATTCCCACAAGTGGTTTATGTTAGTTAGGTTTTAGTAGAGCTTAGTTTTCTCTATTTTGCTTCTCTGTTATATCAATTTTCGTGTTAGTCGTTAATAGTCGATATTCATTATTTTTTTATTTTTTATGTCTGATTTCTTTCATTGTTTTTTAATTTTTAATAATTTTATTTTTATAATATGTTTTTTCTATCTGTATGTTAAGTTTTTTTTGTCTTTTAACATGATTTCAGTCTTCTTTATTGATCGTTTTAGATATTATATTTGTTTATTTTTTATGATTGAATTTGATATTGTATCGACTAATCAAGATAACACTGATTTGTTATCATGATGATATTTCTTACTTTGGACTCTCGAATTGGATTTGGATATGTAGTTTGCGTTCAAAGATAAATTTCTTACAAAGCTTGACCTTGATTAATGATTATCAGTGATCTTTTAATAGTTTGATATCATATTATGATTCGTTTATCGATGCAGTTGGATTTGCTTGTATATATATTTTATTAGAATTTTAAAATATGTTTTAATGTTTTTCTTATATGATTATGATTACAAATAACTAGTTTCTTATGCCAATGATTACAAGAATTTTTATTTACATAAAAATTATTTTATGATAATTAAAATTTATTATGGCCATTGAACAAACATTTTTTATATTGAAAATTTTATTTTTATTTCTCAATTGCGATAAAAAAATGTTCGATACCATACTCAATACATCTTAAAATAAAAATAAATTTAAATTACAATAATAAATGAAATTAAACATATCCTGCTTTTTTAATTTCAACTATAATTATAATTAGTAATAACTAATATATCATATTTAATATTTAAATTAAGAGTTGAGGAAAAAAATCAAAATAATAAATTATTGAAAAGAAAAGAGAGATAGAGAGAGAAAAGACAAAGAGTCAAACTCGCGTGAGAAACGCGGAGTGGGGAGGGAGAAAGATAGGGTTGGTGGTAGGTGCACATGCACGCACACCGGCAGACTATCCAATCTTAAAGGTACACGTGGACTATGCTTAATGATGATATACCCTTTCATTTGGTGAAAATTACTGCGTATACCATTACGAATCTTTCCTTTTTTTCTCGTGAGTTGAGGTATTAAGAGACTGCTGTTTTCATTCAAAAAACCGTGAGCTCTCTCTCTCTCCTTGCTTTTCCATCACTCTTTTTTCCCCATTTGCAGGTTCTGGTTACGATCCTTTTTAAAAAAATTCTACAATATTCGTCTGAGTGTAGATAAATACTATTAAATTAAATTATAAAACGTTAAATTATAAAATATTAAATATATAATTATAAATTAGTTAAAAATTTAAGAGAAAATAACTTTAGTGACAAAAAATACCTTATAATATACGATTTTAACAAATTTTTTTTGGATTTGCCAAAATAACCAACTAAATCGCAATGCGATCGATAATTCGCAACGCGATCTCCAGTATCGCAAATCAATTTCCAGATTCGCAACGCGAACTTCGACTATCGCAACGCGAACTTGGACTATCGCAATGCGATTTACATATTCGCATTGCGATAGTCCAAGTTCGCGTTGCGATTTTCCAAATTCGTTGCGATAGTCGAAGTTCGTGTTGCGATAGTCAAAGTTCGCGTTGCGATTTATTCCAAATTCGTTGCGATAGTCGAAGTTCGCGTTGCGATAGTCGAAGTTCGCGTTGCGATTTTCCAAATTCATTGCGATAGTCGAAGTTCGCGTTGCGATTTCTTTCAAATTCGTTGCGATAGTCGAAGTTCGCGTTGCGATTTATTCAAAATTCGTTGCGATAGTCCAAGTTCGCGTTGCGATTTATTCCAAATTCATTGTGATAGTCGAAGTTCGCGTTGCGATTTATTCCAAATTCGTTGCGATAGTCGAAGTTCGCGTTGCGATTTATTCAAAAATCGTTGCGATAGTCCAAGTTCGCGTTGCGATTTATTCCAAATTCGTTGCGATAGTCCAAAATCGCAATGACTGGTGGTACTGCATTTGTTTCTTAAGAATTTTCTCTAAAAATATAGTATTCGCGCGGACGTGTCGAAGACACGTATTACCACGACCACGATCACGACCACGACCCGAGACGAGAAGGGACGGCGGCAGTGCGCGAGAGTCCCCCTTGTTCTCTATCACTCAACAAGGAAGTGGGAAAGCCAAGCCTTAAATACCATTCCCAATAGTGTTTCCAATACTATATGGGATTGAGCATTACCAACACTTGTTTCCAATACAATGTGATTATTCAGAAAACAATTAACAATCATGCACCTTAAAACAATTGAATCATCAACCAATTGCATTAGTATTATACGATTAAATATGTCATAATTAAAAGTCAATCTACAATCAATCGCGATTATTGTAATTTTAAGCAAAACATTAAAAAATAATATCACTATTTAAGGCTCAATCCCACATAGTATTGGGAACAAGTGTTGGTAATGCTCAATCCCATATAGTATTGGAAACACTATTGGGAATGGTATTTAAGGCTTGGTTTTCCCACTTCCTTGTTGAGTGATAGAGAACAAGGGGGGCTCTCACGCGCCGCCGCCACCGTCTCGTCTTGGGTCGTGGTCGTGGTCGTGGTCGTGGTAATACGTGTCTTCGACACGTCCGAGCGAATACTATATTTTTAGAGAAAATTCTTAAGAAACAAATGCAATACCACCAGACGAATTTGGACTATCGCAACGAATTTGGAATAAATCGCAACGCGAACTTTGACTATCGCAACGAATTTGGAAAATCCAAAAAAAAATTGGTTAAAATCGTATATTATAAGACATTTTTGGTCACTGAGGTTATTTTCTCAAAATCTAAATATAATTTAATTAAAATATGATATTTATAAAATATTATTTTAATTATAATTAGATCAAATATTAATTTGATAAATTCATAAACCCTAATTTTTTCATAGCTTTAAAGCTCAAATCGCGTCATTATCGTCGTCAACGGCATCATCTTTCGTCGACGATTTAATCTTTGTCATTCGTTGATGATGAAAGATGATATTGGTGATGGTTGCGACAACGACAGCTGAAGCTTCAAAGTTATAAAAAAAATTAAGATTTATAAATTTTCTAAATTCATATTTTATCTAATTATAATTAAAATAAGATTATAAAAACTAATGTTTTATAAATATTGTATTTTAATTAAATTACATTTAGATTTTTAATTAATTTATAATTATATGTTTAGTACTTCATAATTTAACATTTTATAAATTAATTTAACTGTGTTCGTCGAGCGTGGCATCATCATCATACTTTTTAACGCTTTTTTTTCTCTTAAAATGGGTTAAATATTAAATTTATTCACAAATTTTTATTTAATATATAATAAGATATACAAATATATATTTTTTATATTATATATATAAATTTTATTTTGATTCAATTGTATATATTTTAAAATTATAGACGTTCATTTATATTTAAAATGATATTATATTAACAAGTATCATAATAATTTATGAAATTTAAATTAGATAAAAAATATTTATATTGTTTTACAAAACTAAAATTTATGTATAGTATTATACATATTTGACAAAATTTCACGTATAATTTTAAAAATTTAATCCGGAAACTAATACTCTTGTCGTCTCACTAAATTTATTCTTTTTGAATTTTAAAATTATCTAATTTAAAATATATTATTAGAAAAGTGAACAAATAACAATACTTATATTTCTTGTTTTACTCTTATATATAATTCTTGTACACTTATTAAATAAATCTATTAATAACTTTTTAAGATACTTTTTATCATTTCACTCGTATTATATAACTTACCATGCGGTTAAACTTATTCCCTAAAATTGTGTGTGTGAATGACCTGAGACAGAAATACATGAAGATGAATATTGCGTTGATGTGATGTGCGTTTTAGTTGGTGTTTTATATCTTCTCAATCCCCATCAGTATTGGCATCAAATAATGGAAAAATATTTCCCCCATAATCTTAAAAGATTTGCAATACAAATCTTCCCTAATCGATTCATGTCCACATAATGATTACAAATTAGTGCATGAAAATCTCAACTCTATAAGAAATGAAAAAGCACTTAATTTATGTTTTAATTGGATTAGAAAGACCATTTCATCTTGAATTGATACAACTATTTTTTTACTTGATATTTTCTATTAATATAAATGACATTTTAATTTAATACTAAAAATTAAATTTTAAATAGTTTTTAAATTCGAAATTTGTTATACCTAAATATAACATACGAATACTTTATTGTAGTTTGGAGATAATTGTCTGTTGATAATTAATTTTTTTTAATGTCAATCGTTTAAATTAAATTAATTTTAATTGATATAAATCACTTAAGTTGTAGGAAATGAAGCAGCAACTTCGTTAAGTCGATTGAAAAGCGTGTATCGCACATTTACTATATTTTAATTAAGCAATGATTAAATGTTTGTTATTGCTGAACAACCAACCAACGCAGCAAATCATTGCAACTTACCATGTCTTGAAACTACCACCACGTAACTGCAGAAACATTACAAATATCAAACAATTTTTTAAACAATTAGTATGGTATTTTGAACTGTACAACTTTAACTATACTAAATAATTAGGCAAGGAAAATGACCGCTTACCAAAACCACAATTTATATTATATTGCAAACTTTATATAATGGGGTATGGAGTGATGCATTTATGAACTTGATCTCAGTAAGCTGATGAGAATGTATATAAACTACTTGACATCTTCTGTACACAACTCGGTCAATCAAACAAGTTATAAAAGTGGAGCAAAAAAGAAAAAGGCATGGAAAGGAATAAACATGCTTGCTCTGCGCCACCACTGTTCTTGTTCATACAGACTTGCACTTCTTTTTATGCCTTGGAGCTTTGATCCCGGAAAGAATGGCTGGCTGACGTAGAACCGCCATTTTCTCATATGTCATAGCTATATCCGTTACGTTTTGGGATTCAGAGCGTTATACGAGTATGTCTTCTTCATCATATCTATCGAGGTTTTCACAAGGAGCAGGGAAGATAGTCCCTACTAAGCGGCCTTCGACGAAGGCACACTGGAATATGTGCTTCTTCTTATATGTTATCCCGATAGACATATCCCTAAACGTCACGTTTCTGATGGCAATGTCCTCGCTACCCTGTATTCTAACTGGTACACGGACTCCTTGACCGTATATCTTGGTGAAGCTAATGTCCCTTATTATTGGGAGGGCCTTTCGGTCAAAATCATCGTCAGGGTGCTCGTTGTAGTCTGTCTTGCTGACAATTCCGACTCGGGCACCATCGAATGTAAGATTCGGATAGGTTATGTCTCTAACATATCCACCTCTTCCAACCAGTCTTGATTCAAACTGCATGCCGAGAACTCCAGATGAGGACATTCTAAACAGTTTTATTAGATACCCCGCCCGACATCTCACTGCCTATCGACAGGCCAGCACTGGGGCATGGTTCAGGGCAGAATTTTAGTTGGTATCTGAAAAATTTTGCAACATGTTTTTGCGAGCGGAAGGAATCATGATTTAACACAAAAACTTTAATGTTAAATAAAAAATCATAACTGGTTTAACACAAATTATAGAGAACATAAATTATAAAATATTCTGACAAGTATCCCTGAATGAGCGCTACTAATCTTATGTGTAGGGTTACAGATGATTGCATGTAGTGTAAAGTTATCAACTTATGGTTGGCTTATGAAAACATGAAAAGCAATCAGGCAGTAGAATATCCATGAAGATGGAGGAAAACTAATTTAAGAATCTTCACCTGACCATCGAGCAGACGATGAGGTCTTGGATAAGAATGTTTCTTGAGGGTCGTCCATAAGCTATGCCATATTGGTCCCAGCCACTCTTTATTGCAATCGCATCATCCCCAACGCTTATGTAGCAATCCTCTATCACCATATCCTCACATGAATCTATTTACAACATAAATGACTTGCACTTGGTTACATTTAGAATGAAATAATCTTTTTCTGTTTTTACCCTTCATCAAATCAACAAGCTGAAATTTAGTGTACACGGGTGTAGATTTGACCCGGCTGGCAATATGATAAACAACGTTAATAAACTTTATATGCAACAGAAACTAAAGGGGAAAAGGAGATAAAAGACAATAATGAAAGCAAATTTGTTGCAATTTGCCCACGTTTCACAGAATTCAGTTCAGGATGCTAATTCATAAGTTCTCTCCTTAATGTTTCTGTGCAGTTCATAGTATGAATGGATATTTTTCTACACTTTTCAAGAAGAATGGACATTGTCAACAACTGTTCATAGTAAGGATAAGAATTATATCTAGAGCCTTAGCAACCACAATTCTCACGGACAAAAGTTCAAATTTTGTGATTGAGGATTACTTACCAGGATCAATTCCATCAGTATGAGGGCTTCAAATGGTAACATTCCTGACTGTTATATTCTTGCAGTCATATTTTGTGATTGGAGCCAGGATGGTAACATTCCTGACTGTTATATTCTTGCAGTCATATGGATGAAAAGTTCAAAACGGAGAATCACGTAAGGTTATATTAGAGATTACAATGTCACTTGACCCAATCATCTGCATAAATGGACCCCTAGTGTTGTTGAGTAGCTTTTGGCGAAACTTCTTCCACCATGATTGACCCTGTCCATTTATGGTACCATTATGCCCTGTTGATTTGTCCAAATCAGCCTCGGTCAGCAACAAATAATATATGCAGAATAAAGGTCTTAATCCTCGTTTTATCCAAATCACATCTACAAGGGGATCACCTAGGTGCTAAGATTTTAGATTAAATTTGAGTGGATCACATCTATATTACATTTGTTGGTAGCAGCCAAACAAAATTTTCAACCAATTATGTTTGCTTCATCAATTTGGCACGTGGAATTAAAATATATATCTAATGCAGGATAGAAAACATTGATAAAAGATGCAGAAAACACAAAACAGGTATAGAAATCAACCTACAATAATAGTATTTTATAGGTATCACCTATTATGTGCTATAATTTTGAAAAGCTACGTTGGTTCATTCACAATGGATAGACTACAAATACAAGTTCCATTATACACTACTGAGTTTTACTATAAAGTTTTGGCGATAATTTTCATAAACGAATGGACATGGAATGTAGATATAACTTCCATTTTGCAGTAAGTTACCAGTAATTCTTTTACCAAAAGTTCAGAATCATAAAATGCATAAGTTTCAAAAAGGTCATAGATTACAGACGAGCTGGAGCCACTAAGGATCCATTTGCAGTAAGTTCCTGGTAATTCTTTTACCATTTTTTGGTATAATGGCATTTTAAGTCCTTTTTTCGTTTAAATATTAGTCAAATAAGTCCTTTTCCCCTCCCAATTTTAGATTTAAATACTTAATAGATCCTTATTCTTTTGATGTAAAGCAATTTAGCTCCTCCCAATGTTTGATCCTGGATCTGTCCCTAATTACAGATAGAGAAACCGAAAAAGGCCTAGTATGTGAGTGAAATTTTAATTCAAGCAACTAAAGAAAACACGACAAAATGATTTAAAAACTGAAATTACTGGCTTATTTAGGGGGACAAATTTAATAAGCTAACCAGTTATAACAACATCTCTGAGGTTTTGACCATGAATTAAACTCCCAAACCGAGCTCCCTTCTGCTTTCTTCCCTGCCCATATGAAGGCAATGGAGGCATTAAAGGCTATCGCTTCTCATACTGTATAATACCAGAGAAAAGATCACATCCAAAATTAGCAATATAAATTGTAATTTGTTAACAACAATCACGACTTGAAGGCACCAAAACCAGAAGTTTTAAACAGAACAGCAAATAACTAGCTTCAACATTGAAAATTACTTATACTAACAACAAATTATTAGTCCCCCTGCATCACAATTCATAACCTATAACTAAACATGTTAAATAATTTGTGTGAGAAACTCAATCTCGTCTTAATAAAAGAAGCTTGTTTAGTTAGCAAACCAAAGTAGAGATTTATTTTCAGTGCCAATCTTAAACATGCTTATAAGCTATTGAGTTCAGCTTGAAGATTGAATTAAGAGGGAAAAAATAACTATTTAAAACAAAAGTAAATTGAAAGCACAAACCTGGACTCCAAGAATCTCAGCATCTTCAGCTAGAACAAAGTCATATGACTAGTAAGATTGAACGGCGCCGTAAGCCACTTCCCGGGCGGCACATTGAGCTGCGCACCACCTTTCTTCCCGAACTTGGAGATCGCCAAGATAGCCCTCTAGAACGCCGCCGTTTCATCTGCAATCCCATCCCCAACTCCACCGAAATCAGTCAAATTAAACGCGAAAGGCCGCATCTTGGGTATAGGCCGACCAGGTCCAGCTTTAGCGAATATCGATAACCCAGCCCCGCCGACATTCCGTTGCCATAAGAAAACCGAACAGAAAGCCGCGACCCAGAGGACAATCAAGAGAGTTTTATGCGACGAAAGGAATGCCATAATCCATCTCTTAAGTTCCAGCCTTTGTTACCGTAACTGAGACTGCCCGACAGGCAATGTCTTCACCATTTCTGGGTTTTTAAGTGATAGGAGAAAATTCGGTTCAAGAAAAAAGTCCTTTGACAATTGGATACGAAACACAGAAAAGGAGGATCTTTTGTACAAGAAGAGTGGCAAAATGCAAAATGGAAAAATGCAAAAGGGTGTATTTTTTTAGGTGGAACGTTAACCATCAGTAGCAGGTGGATCTTGTTCGTAAATGGAAGAGTCCATTTCAAGGGAAGTCTGTAATGGCGAAGGTGAGATTTTTTTTGGGGTAGGGAGGCATTAGGTTGTTGTACGGTGCTTTGTTTATTTTATGACACGTGCTTCGTTGCAGTTGTTCATTATACCTAGATCCCAAGGCAACCTTTGTAAGATATTTAAAGTGGGTTTGATTGATATTGTTGAAGTGTTGCAATCTGTCTTGTTAATGAAGGGAATTTAAAAACCAGTAGGCGAGTATATCATTCTCATCAAAGCTAATGATTTCACCATAGAAATTACTATAGTTGGTCAAATATTTAAATTGCGCTTACGTTCTTCAATTCGATCATATTACATTTATTATTATAATGACAGTGACAAGAGTCCATCCAACAAAGAAATCATAGCATTGATATTCCATTTGTGCTCATCAATGGGTTTTCAAGAAATGAGATCTTATATCGCAGGATAAGTAGTTTCCTCCATGTCCGAGATTGAAGTTAAATCCTCAATGGTGTCAACCCAAAAATGTGAATGGACATTGACAGGGTAAAAACTTTTCTCCCTTTCAATCCCATAAACTCTCTTCAATCTCAAACCTCAATTGCGAATTCTATTATTAGTACCGAATGTAATTTGCTAGCTACCTCCACTCAAAGTCACAATACAGTTTACCGGCATGGCAAGCCTGCCTTTTGTTACCCCCCAATTAAACAACACCAAACGCCACAACCCAAACAAAGACTCACAAAACCACATGATTTCTCCGAGCAGCGGCTCGTTTCTATCCGGAGCGCTAACATTTCGGGTCAGTAATGGCCGCTGTTCGCTTCCTCCCTCCCCTTTCCCTTGTCATTATCACACTTTTTTTTCCCACCCTTTGTTCCTCTCAATCTGATGTTGACGCCCTGATTAAGTTCAAGGCATCGTTTCCACAAGGTTATTTGAACAGTTGGATTCCAGGACCAGGTATGTCTCCTTGTCTGCAAAAGTGGTTCGGCGTAAAGTGCCATGGAGAGGGCATTATCGGTCTCCATTTAGTGGATTTACACCTTTCGGGAACGGTTGACGTTCAGCCTTTGCTTCAACTTCGTTACTTGAGATCCATTAGCTTAATGAGGAACTCGTTTACAGGTCCCATCCCGCTATTCAACAAGCTTTAAAGTCTATATTTATCTCATAATCAGTTCAAAGGTGAGATTCCGAATGATTATTTTGCACCGATGAGATCTCTGAAGAAAGTGTGGTTAAGTGAAAATAAATTCACCGGACATGTCCCAGAATCCGTAATGCAACTACCTCATCTCTTAGAGCTCCACCTAGAGGGAAACCATTGTCCAGGATCGATTCCACCGTTGAAATATCCCAATGTTCTGGTATCCTATTAACATATCGCTTAATCATTTGGAAGGATATATCCCAGAGAGTTTCGCCAAGTTCAGCAACGATTCATTCCGAGGAAACGTAGGACTTTGCGGGAAACCAGTGACGAATTTTTAAGTAAAACATGAAACTGATAAACCCGAAGCCAAAGCCAAATCCAAAGCCAATTCCGATGGCAGGGCACTGCTTGTAGCCATTACCATTTTTTTTTACTCTGCATACTAATAGCCTCCGTTTGTTCTGCAACGCATAGGACTAAGAAGATCGATAATGTCCGCATTGTAAGTAAGGAATCTGTAAAAAACGAGGCGCTGCCA